CTGGTGGACCTCACTAAAACACGATTGTAAGTAACAAAGGTAAAAAAAAAAAAAAAGGTCTGCTTGGAGTCTAGAAAGTTTTGTCAGAGAGCAAGAGTTTGGCAAGTACTGTCTAGGGTGGGTTTCAGTACTCCAGTCACTAGAAAGCACTTTCAGGTTTCACTAGAGCCTGAATTAAATAACCCTCAAAATGCTTCTCTTTATTATAAATCCATTTTGAACAAGCAATTTCCCAATTGATACATCCAATTAATAGTTGAGCCTTGAGGGTACCTTGACACAGGAAGTGGATGCTCTGGATGGTAGACTGAAGTATTCTACTCACTGGAAAGGTCTATCAGTCCTTTGTAGATTAATAAATACTTTGGGAAGGAAGCTGGTCATCAGGACTTCTATGCAGCTGTGGGTCTTGACATTGAATGGATATCATTGTCATATTTTAGGGAGGTACAATTGAGAATGTGCAAGACAGACTAAAAGCAAAGTCCATCCCTGGGGGGAGGCAGCTAGTAGAATGAGGAGAGGGAGTCAGAGGCTACCTCAGGAGGGAACAGGAGTGGCATCTGGAACTGGAACCAGAACCTGTTCCCTTGATCCATCAATCACCTGTCTTTATCTCTAACCAGCTCCTTTCTCTCAGATTAGAAACCTGTCTTTCTGATCAAAAATCAGAACAAACAAACTTTCCCTTAATGACATATTCCTCTTTAATTCACCTCTTTTCACGGCCAAGTTTTTTATTTTTACTTCTTGTGTCTCCTTAATTCCTCAACCCACTATGATATGCCTTCTTCGTCTCTATCTCTACCTCCACTCAAACTGCCGTGTCAACATCGCCAATGGGCCCTCTTCTACTTGACAGACCCAATGGACGTTCTTCAGGTCCATTTTGCTTGATATCTGCATAATCTTACCCTGTTTTCCTCCCTCTCTTTTTTTGGCACACTCTCTTGGCTTCTGGGTACAACTCTCTGGTTCTGCATAGCTCTTAGACTATTCCTTGTCTCCTCGTCACCCTTCCCTGACCACCAGAACAGACTGGGTACCCTTACTTTGGGCTTTACCCTGACCACCCATCTGCCTCTACATTTACTACATTATATTAATATAGTGTGTTTATGAGCTGTCTCCCCAAATAAGTTGTAAGCTCCAAAAGAGAGCCCAGGTCCTATTTATCTATTTTCCTACCACAGAGCATGAATCCTGGCATATTGAAGGTGCCTTTTTTTTTAACCTAACCTCGGGGCAAAGACCAGCCAGGCTTGTGGACTGACCACACGGGATGGGGGCTAATAGGGAGATCTCAACCTGAAGTTCACATGGGCACCTAGGGCTGCATTCAAGTCCAGACGGCTTGGCCTGCTGCAGTGCGCTACTTCTAAACTTCACAGGCTACTGGAGGGAGTATTTCCTAACATATTAGCTAGGTGCTCATTTCCAGCGCTGAGCTTGGTGGTGGTAGACTTTAGTACCCAGAGTCAGGCAAGCAGGAACAAACAAGGACAGCTGGATAAAAGGAGTTTCTGGACCTCCAAAGCTGAGGACACTATTCAATGGCAAGCCCATTAATGTTCTGTGACTCTTCAGGGGCTATCAGACAGCTCCCTCCTTAGACTTTAATGGTATGATCGCTTCTGACAGAGGTCATTAAGGCTGCAAATAAAAGGCAGAAGGTAGAATATTTTTCAATTCCCTTTGACTTTTTGATTCACTGTTCTCATTTTTCTCTCCCATCATTTCTTTTTGGTCTTAAAAAATTGCTGTCTGTGTTTATCTGGCTTGCCTGTGTATATCTAATTTTAGATTGCAAGCTATGGGACAGAATAATGTCTTTATATGTGCAGCATCTCACTGTGGCTGCCTAAGAAAGTCTAATGACATCAACATCATTCAATTAATGTGTTTTTATCTTAGCAAATAAACTGTAAAGTTCTCCAGAGAACTTGTTCACTTGAACTTCACTAGAGATTTATAAATAATTTTTCAGGCTATATCCAGGATATATTCAGAATATCTCCAGAATATTTATAGTATTTCAAGTAATGTATGACAAATTAAAGTTGACTGGCCTTATAAGATCTTTAGGTAATGCTGAGAGATATATCTGACATGAATAATAAGGGAATATAGCAGCTCATTCCAAACTAAAGAGAAATACTTTCTGTACATCCTAGAAATAGAGAAATATTAAACAATATCCATGATAAGACCCAAACTATACAACCTCTAAAAAGATTAACAATCTACTTCATTGGTTTGCTGGGTTGGTGAGGAATACAGTGCCTACTCAAATTTGTAAATTGTCATGCCCATGATCAGAAGGGTTTTTTATAATAAGAGTCCCATTCAGAATTCATGTTTTCTTCCATATACATTAAGTAGTTTCCTCATACTAACCAAGAATGAAGAAAGAGGGGCTGGCCCAGTGGCACAGTGGTTAAGCGCACGTGTGCTGCTTTGGCGGGACAGGCCTCGCTGGTTTGGATCCCAGGTGCAGGCATGGCACTGCTTGACAAGCCATGCTGTGGGGACGTCCCACATATGAGGTAGAGGAAGATGGGCACGGATGTTGGCTCAGGGCTGGTCTTCCTCAGCAAAAAGAGGAGGATTGGCAGCAGATGTTAGCTCAGGGCTAATCTTCAAAAGAAAAAAAAAGAATGAAGAAAGGGATTTATAAAAGAGTTTAAAATTGGTTCTCACATTGTGTGTCAGATGATGTAACATGACATTAGTTCTGAGAAAATGGCTGCCAAGTAAGAAGACATAGATCCTGAAATAGAGACCCAATTAGGCTCATAAACATAGACTTAAACACAAACACATGTACACAGGGTATTTAATGACTTTGTTGTAGAAGAGAGTATGAAACTCAGAGAAATCTCAGAATACTTAGGTTTCCTACAATGTGCTCTTCTAATGGTGTAGCCACCCATGTTAAACCAGTGTATTTGTTATAATGATAACAACAGGGATGCCATTACCTACCTGATAGGATTATTGTGAAACCTGAATAAGATACTATATGTAAACTTAAACTACATAACATACAGTGCTACCATTTATTGAGCAACTCCTATTTCTATAAATATAACCACACGTCGATTTGGCAGACACTAAATTCAAATTCATGACAGAAGTATTAAAGAGAGATGTATACATACAGACATACAAAAGATACAACTGTCTCTGTCCTAAACTAATCTGGAGAACAGAAAAATGCAATGGCTACATTGAGACAATGTTAAACATTAGGTGAATAACAACACGACAAAACTAACAAGTCAGTTGCCCATCTAGGGAGTAGATTATGTGGGGAGAGGTCAATGTGAGAATTTGAAATGCATTATACTCTAAGACCATGGTTCCTAAGGCACAAATAACCTAAGTACATAAATTAAGGTATAAAGAACAAAAATACATTTCAAGCAAATAGAATGTTATTAATATTAAGAACTAATATTTATTGAGCATTTACATGCCTCCTCACAACAACTCTATCAGGTGTGAAACTACAGTATTGCCAACAAGGAAACTAAGGCTTAAAGAAGTCAAACAACTTTGATTTAAACATAGACAGTACAAGTTCAAAGGATGAGGTCTTTGATCTGGGAAGTAAGGGGGGCCAGTACTTGGAATAATAAGAGGAAAGGGCATTGTAAGGTGGAGAAAATAACATCAGGAATGTCATGGAGGTGGGAATAAGCAAGATGTGTTGAGGGTATGACAAAATACCAAGGCTAAAATGTGGCAGACAGAAGAGGGTAAAGGCAAATGAGAGAGTAAGAGACAGGGGCAAGTACAAGGAAAAATAGATTAGGGCTTAAGTATTGGAAAAACAGATTAGGGCTTGAGTATTGGAAAAACAAATTGGAGCTTGAATGAAAAGGGAGCATGGGATCTAATCTTGTGGCCTTGTGGTTTATTGGAAGGTAATTCTGGGGCAGTGTAAAAGTATTGCATTTAAAAGAGGAGAGACAAAGGGAGACCAATTAAGTTATTCTTGGAATGGTCCCACTTTTATTTTCCTGGAAATGAAGTCAAAGAAAACAAGTTCTTAGTGTCTAATGAAAAAAAGCACACCAGTTTATTCAGGAAGACATTTTTCCTATGGTAAATCTTAAACAGAATTTATTGTGTAGTTCTTTATATAAAGGACATTAAATTATAGAATTCATTCATTCATTTTCTACAAATCAAATATTCATTTAGGCCTACAGTGTATGCTCTTTCAGGCACTGCACATAAAATATTAAAACAAGTAAAGTCTCTGCCCTCATGGAGCTTACTTTCTAGAAATTTGGGCAACTGTCTTAGTGATTTTACAAAAAATGCGGGAACAGTTTTCGTGTGGATGTTTTTCTTTGGTCAACTCTTAATGATGACTAATTACAATCCAGCAAAGGTATTTCTGTTGAGAGCTGAATTTGACATAAGGCTATAGGAAACATTAGGAAACATATCTCAAATATCAGTGGGCTTTTTAGAAAAGGTAGATTGAAGTCACTTTCAAACTGAGGTCTCTGGTAGGTGACTAACAGACAACTATTCTGGGTTGGGGATTAAAAAAATGTTAATTTGTGTATATATATTTACAGATATATACTTCACTCATTCGATATAGCTTAACTGAGTGATATGTTAAGAACCTTGAAACTCTGCAGATATAGAAATGGACAAGAGAATCTCTATCTTAAAGAATGAATAATGACATTAACACTATTGAATTTACCTCTGTGTATGGATTTTTAAAAATCTTAGTGAATATATTGCCAAGTTCTCTATAAAACTTGACTGGGGCTGGCCCCTTGGCCGAGTGGTTAAGTTTGCATGCTCTGCTTCAGCAGCCAAGGGTTTTGCTGGTTTGGATCCTGGGCGCGGACCTAGCACTGCTCGTCAGGCCATGCTGAGGCGGTGTTCCACACAGCACAACCAGAAGGACCTACAACTAGAATATACAACTATGTACTGGGGGACTTTGGGGAGAAAAAGAAGAAGAAAAAACAAAAGATTGGCAAGAGATGTTAGCCCAGGGCCAATCTTAAAAAAAAAAAGACTGTTATAACGTCATTGGAGATTTATAAATAATTTTGAAGCTACTGCTATCTAGGATATACCTGAAATAACTTATACCTCGTGATGTGAGATAAATCAGAGTTGACTGGTTTCATTCGATATGTAAGTCTAACACTAAGAGACCTTTTTGATGTGAATAATCAGGGAATATAGCAATTCCCAACTGAAGGGTATACTTTCTGGAGACCCCTATAATGGTGAAATATTACAAGAAGGAAGAATAGTCTAACGGGGTGACAGACATGATTGCTAACAATTACAATGCAACACAATAAGTGGTATAGTAGTAGGGTGAGCACAACTCTGGGTACACAAAGCAGGTGCATTGAACTCAGCTCTGGGTGTTTGGGGCTGGGGGCATGAGAGGAACAATCAGGCTAAGTTTCCCTAATTTAATAACAGCCACCATTTAGCGAGCGTGTTTTCTCAACAAACAGCTCAAGGGAGGAGCAAAGTGAGGCCCAGAGACGAACAGCACACAGCTAGAGCTCAGGTCCAGGCCCACTAGCGGTGCATTCAGTGATGGTGCCACCTCCTCTGGGTTTGGCCCTGATAGAGCACTGCGGCAGCTCTCGTGAGTCATTAAGTGACTCATCTGTCAGATTAAATGAGGAAAACCAGTTCTGGTCTTGTGTTATTAATTATTAGGCAACTCCTGTAACTATGGTTCATTGACTGATTTTGTTTTTTCTTTTAGGAAACCAACCAGGTATGAACAACTTCCTTCTAGAAATCTTTCTTTGAGCTCATTCATAGGTTGAGCAAGAAAATGTATTAATGCTAAATGGTGGATAACTGCCTATGTCCTCACAAATGTCCATTGAATGATTGCAGTGACAGAATTATGTGTGTAGGTACCTGTCCAGTGTGTCTCTGACTTGGAAATCTAAAATTGTATAGTCTGGATTTTAAGCCTACTAGAATTACTCCAGGTTTACTTCATGATACCCTTTCCTTTCCACTAATAATTTTGGAACATTGTCCATTTATTTCCATATAAAAATCTATTTTTAAAAGATAATGTGAAGATAGCCTATCTGACTGTCTATCATTTGACTATTGATAAGATAATTTGCATTTGAAAAACAAAATCCTAGTTTCTTGAGAGGAAAAAGTGAGAAGCTGAGGCTACTACATCCAAGAACTCAGAAGTGTTAGTTATCTGCCTGCTGATGTGCTCATGTGGACAAAGACAAGAGGATCAAACTATACTGTTGTAAGTGTTATATAAGCATGCAAAATGAAGACTTGAGTGGCAAAATAATTGGCCTGGACATCCTTAGTGAGATGCATTCTAAGAGAAAAGCAAAGAAAAATTTGAATGTCATGTAATAGTTTCACTGTTAGTATTAATATTTATATTACTATTTTATGATTTTATCATTAGATAAAAGAAATAAGTGATTATGCTAACTTTGTTAAGAATCCAACATTTTTCTTTAGAATGATAATTGAATGTTTCATTGAACTATAAAAAAGGGAAATATAATTATAAATTGGACAAAGAATAAAAATTGAAGTAGGTATACTGTAATGTGAGAACTAAGTTGAAAATGTTAATATAAACTAATGACATTTAGTAAAGTATACCTTTTTGAACTCTGTTCAATGAAATGACCAACCAATAATATTACTCCACCATGATGAGCCTGAGCACATGCACTCCTAATGCCTAAATTTGGGGGTCTAATACTATTTTTCACTTAAAGGAAACAATATGACTTAGGAAAGTGGCTGATTCAAGTCTGGGTCTAGGAAGGTACAGATGAGTCTTTGAACATTTTATTGAGCCAGAAAGCAAGAATGCTTTCAAAAATAATGATGTTGCATGGAAGAACACAGAAGCCAGTTTAAAGGGACACTCATTGGCAATTTGAGCATCAAAAGGAAAATGATGACTATGGTTAGTTGAAATGTGTTAATTTGTGAAAAGCTAAGTTCATAATGATAGCAAAAATGAGAAATTTGATGAGTTGTACTAAAGAAGTTGAATATAATTGAATCTTATTACTCATCCTTAACATGTTAGTACTAATGACTCACTTATTGAATGAGTGCAGAATATCAAATTCAGTAAATTTCAAGTATGTTAGTTTTGCTTAATCTAAGTTTACATTTAGAAAAATAATTCTTAACTCTTAGGCCATAACTGCCAGTGTCTGTACTAGTGTGAACTGATTTTTGGGAGTGACAAAATTACACCCCTACCTGCCTTAGAAATCTAATGCTGGGAGTTTTGATTGGCCCTCAAAGTGCCATTCCAGTGAGTCATCTTGGGGAAATTAGCACTGGAATATATTAGAAGTATTGTACTCCTGAGTCTCTATGTATTGATCAGCTAAGTTTTAAGAGCTGGTTCATAACCCTGGTGGTATTTTACCTAAGTCTATAGCAGGCGGTCTGATAGGACTTTGTATGATGTAGAAATGCTCTATATCTGTGCTGTCCGATATGGTAGCCATTAGTCACATGCAGGTGATGGCTATTGAGCACTTGAGATGTGGCTAGTGTGACCAAGGAACTGAATTTCAAATTTAATTTTATTTAAAGTTAAAGTTAAATAAACAAAGCCTCGTGACTACTGTATTGGATAGCATAGGTCTAGATTTTAAACCTCCTTTTAATTATATAGAATAACTTTAGATTCACCCAGAGATGCAAATTCCTTCTCACCAATTCTGGAACATTGTCCATTTACTTTAAGATAAAGATCTGTATTGAAAAAATTTAGGATTACAATTTTTTTGAATAGGTAACACATTCGTGTTGTTTAAAACATTAAAAAATATAAAAAGGTACACAGTAAGAATTCTCTCCCACTGTATTCCCCAGCTACCCAGGTCTCTTTACCGTGGGTGTGACCAATGTTATGAATTTCTTACGTATCCCAAAGGTACTTTATACATAAACAAGTAATGATAGCACACGTTTGTTGTGCACAAACCTTTTTCCTCAACTTATTTTAGGGATCACACCATATGAGTACAACAGTCTCCTTCCTTATGACTGTATAGTCTTAAGAATCATTTAAAGGATCTCTGAAGGTGGCCTGTCTGCTATCTTGACAAGTGATGAGATAGCTTTCATTTGGAATGTGAAGAATCCTAATTTCACAAATAGATGAAGATAGCAGGTAGAAGCTATGGCAGCCCCTTACTCAGTGTGTCCCGCTCGTATGGAGGAGGCCCAAATATAAAAATGCCTAGTCCTTTTTCTTTGAAACTTATATTTTGAACCAAGTCATGCTAAGTTTTGTAGAGTGACCCAAAATATTATATTATAATACTATGACTTTTTAAAAAATAGCATAATTATAATTTCAATAATATGTAAGCCCCTTTAGTGGCTTTCCATTGCACGTAGAATAAAATCCAAACTCCTCACCAAGGCCCACCACATTTTGCATGATCTGTCTCCAGACTTCTCCTTAATCACTAGGCTTCAACTACATAGGTCTCTTAACGCAGCCAGCCCTTTCCTGCCTGAGGGTCTTTGCACTGGCTCCTCTCGCAATACGGCATGCTCTTTTCTGGACTCTTTCTGTGACTCTCAGCTTAAATGTCACCTCCTCCTTGATGTCTTTCCTAATGTGCCATTTATAGTGCTCCCTCACCCTGCCCCCACACTACTACTATCTTCATAGCACTTATTATAATCTTTAACTATTTTATTTATGTATTATCTCTCTCCCATTAGAATGTAAAATCCTTGAGAACAGGAACTTGAACTCTCTTCACCAATGTGTCTCCAGGACCCAAAACAGTCCTTGGCATACAGTTGGTGTACAATTAATATTTGCTAAAACAAAAAATGTTGAATGAGAAAATATTTAATGCATTTCAAATATAGCACCCAGAACTTGAGACCATTTGGACAAGTGCCATGCCTTTCAATAGTCCCTCATAATTGAATAAACATAATAAATTCCTCTAAAAGGAATACTGTTTGTATATGAGGTTTTTGATTCCATTAATATTTATCTGGAGTCCTATTTGCTTCTTTTGTATATCAGAGATGTTCAGCACATTTGAATCACTAAAGCTACTTGTGCCTGCCATGATATGCCGTCTATGAAGTGATGCTGCTTATGTAGTAATGGTATGTGTCCTTCATCTTGTCATCTTTTTGAGTCACTAAGTCAACATGTATTGGTCATTATAGAAACATTTATTAGTCAAGTGCTTACCTTGTCATTACTTAAAAATATACATTTACATGGTACTTTACATTTTGTAAAAAGGTTTTCGTTGATATCAATTTATTTGACCTTCACAATCCCCTCTACCCTGTAAGGCATCTTATGGCCATTTTACTGGTGAGGTTACTAGAACTCAGTAAAGATTAAATTTTGCTTAAAACAATGTAACTGGTGAAAGATACAGCTAATGAGTGAACTCAACTCTTCCAAGTCCAACGTCCAAGTCCAGATCTTTGGCTTTTTCAGCTACACCACAGCTACTCCATCACTATGCTTGAATAAAACTTGGCAGTTTACAAAGCACTTCCACATAAACAATCTCATTTGATCCTCTTTACAACCCTTGTGGTTGACAAGGCTGGTAAAATTCCTTCCCTGAAGAATTTAGATAATATCTTTAAGGAAACAATACACATGCAAAACTGAAGACATTGTTACAGAGTAATATAGCACATGGAAATTAATTATGGAAATGTATACAGATGCCAAGGAGATTGTGAATTGTACATAGCCAGATGAGATCTATTACAAACCCCAGGAAGAGGTGAAGGCTAACAGAATTTGGAAGGAGAGGAAGAAACTAGATTCGTGGGGCCAGAAACAAGAGGAATCCAAGCTTTCATTATGAGGCAGTGGCTATGCAAACATGTGCCTGAGGGCACAATGTCATGTGGAGAACATGCCCAGCAAATTATCTTGACAAAAATAGAGGGGGTCCATCAAGAAACAGTGAAAGCTGAGGATGCTAAGATGAGGAGTACTGCTAGTTGGTAGAAGACCTTAGATGTCAAGGGGAGCTTGGATTTTATTTGGCAGACACTGGGGAGTTGGTAAAAGCTCACGCACATGAGACATTAGAGATGAAAACAAAGTTTGATGCCTTTTCTGGCAGCTATGTGTAGAATGAATTGCAGCAGGGGACTGACCGAAGGCTAGTGCAGTGATCCTGGTATAAGGTGACATGGTCATAGACTGTGGGGTGACTGAGGAGAGGGGAAGGAAAGAGGACCTTGCAGAGAAAGGCTCATCGGGCTGGATGATAGATTCAGGGTCAGGGAGAAGGAGAGGAAACAGTGAAAAACGACTGCAAGGTTTCCAGCCTGTTGAGCTGGGCTGACTGTGGTGCAATAAAGACAGTATTTCTGAAGGGAAGCCTTGTGGCTGAGGTCTAGAGCAGAGAGGTGGGGATAAGAGAGTGTTGAGCTAAGGTTTTGCAGTGCAAAGTTGAAGGTGCTGCGGGCTGTTTAGTTGAATGCTTGTAGGCAACCAGAGAAACAAGTCTAGAAAGAAGATAAGAAGTCAGAGTTTATATCATGTCATTTTTATTAACCTCTGACTCTCTTTCCCAGACTGCACACTTGCTGCCTACTCACACAGCCTCAAATGCTCTTTTCTTGGCAATTCTCTATTGAGAAGAATTCACATTTATAGATTTGGATATTTCTCTGTGAACTTTCCCTATGGTAGCATAAAAAAAGAAAAAGGAAAGGATTTTAAAAATGCATTAAGACTTTTCACTCTGAAACGATTATTTAGAAGTTAATTTGGCTTAAAAAAATAATATTTCTTTAAATTCAAAATCTTGTGCTTAAGCTTTCGTATTGAATATATCCATTTTATTATTCCACGTATAAATCTAGCAAATTGATGTCTGATCCATTTGGTTAATCATTTTAAACTGCATTTATTAATTTAATAGTTTATTTTTTTCAAACACATCAATTTTCTGATTAACAAACCCTCCCAAATTCTTAAGTAAATCTCATAAAATAATTAAACAAATACATATGGTGAGTGGTAAGTTCTCTTAAAATTTCCAATACCGCATATAAACTTTAAAAAAATTTTTAACTTAAAATCAAAAGTCTAAATCAACTAGCCAGTTATACACTTTAATTCAGCATTGCAAGGCTACTTTCCAGATACTTTATTAAACATTAAAAGTGTTTCTAGGAGCCCGCTCAGTGGCACAGTGGTTAAGTTAGTAAGCTCCGCTTCGGGGGGCCCAGGGTTCACTGGCTGGGATCCTGGGCGTGGACTTACACACTGCTTATCAAGCCATGCTAAGGCAGGTGTCCCACATATAAAAAAAGTAGAGTAAGGTGGGCACAGATGTTAGCTCAGGGCCAGTCTTCCTCAGCAAAAAGAGGAGGATTGGCGGTGGACGTTAGTTTAGAGCTAATCTTGCTTGGAAAAAAAAAAAGTTCCTATTAAATACTACTAAACATTAAAAGTATTTAAAACATTAAATGCATTTAAAATGTCAAATATACAGATTCTTTAATACAAAAAAAATAATACTATGAGGTTTGATTTCCTTCATTATATCTCTATTTAATTCTAAATCGTCCCAGGATTAAGACATACATATCCACTAAGAAAACAATATTGTCATCCCAAGCAAATCTAGGAACACCTTCCCAAGAAATGTGTGGGTTGGCCTTCTTACCTAGGAGGTTTCTCTATGGTCAGAGTGTCTTTTGGCTTCTGAGTCTTCAATTCTTGCCTTCTCTCTTTCGTATCCTGAAGAAAGGGGTTTAGCTTTCTCTGTGGAAGTAGAGTCAGCCAGACTCCAGTTCTGTACTTTCTTGCCAGCCACCTCCTTAAAAGCTGGCTTCTTCCCTTTCTCAGGATTCTGGAGCACTCAGGAAGCCTCTGAGGCCCTGAACTCCTGCCTAAAGGCCTGGACTAAGCCAGGTCTTGTTGATAATTCACTGCAGCCTGAACCTCTTGGATCCTTCATCAGCCAGTAGTGGGGAGAAAAAAATGTATTGTTAAGATTAAAGGCAGTCAACAGACTTCCCTTAGAAGAAAGAACTGTGTTTAGCTAAAGAACTAGACTTAGCAAAGCCCTTTCTTAGGCCATTGTGATTGTCAAGGTAATCCTAGGTGATGGCCTGAATAAGAGTCAAATGGCTCGACGTGATGAAGCATAAATTTTGAGTTCCAGAGGGCAGTCAGAGAGGAAAGGAGAGAACAATTAGAGTAAATAGGGAGAGAGAGGAGCCAAGCTCTGGGGATAAGGTGGGTGTATGGACTCTATGGGGAGGGACCTGTGAAAATTCTTGGTGACAGGAATGATACTTCTAGGAACTGGGGTATGTAATGTTCATGATAGTTTGTTCGGTGCTGTTTCCCTCCCTGTCAGGACCATAGCAGTGTCGTATGAAAATTAATCTGACAGTGATGAGTTGTGGCTGGATCAGAGCTAGGAGAGATTTGGGGTGGAGGACAGTCGGGAGCCAATCACAATTGTCCAGGAATGAAGACTTTAACTATTGTGGTATTGACTGGAAAGGAATGGAAGTGACAGATGGAGGAGACTCAGGGACATCTGTAAGAGCAGGAGTTGGAGCCAAAGTGAGAGAGAATGAATGGTGAGAGCACTCACAGAAGGAATGAAGTCAGACAATTGTGGGCAGAGTGGGCAGGAAGGAATAGACTGGGTAGAGAGCATGAGGCAGCCATGTTGAATATGATAGCCAGGACCTTCAGGCGGAATGCTATCGCTGGAAGTTATACCATAGCAGTAATATTTGAAACAGTGTGAATTTCGAGGGACTGAATTTAGAGAGGAAAGAACAGGCTGTGCACCACAGGACCTTTGCAAGCTCTGTACATTAGAATTAGGGAGATGGGGAAAGGGGCAAAGAACCCCTGAGGAAAGGAAAGAAGTGGTGTGAAAGAGAGGTGATCTTGGATATTGCCAAATGGTAGAGACCTAAGGACAGAATAAATGAACTTATCCCAACATATATGAAAAATACAATTCAGTTTAGTTCCTTAGCCACATATTAAACAACTTTGATGTGTTAGACCCAGAGAATACAAATATAAATAAAACAAGGTACCTGAGGCTGACCCAGGTAAGGCCACCTCCTAACATCGGGGAGAATCTATCCAGAAAACAGGTCTGCCTGCACGTGGGTGGGGATGTGTGCTTGGGGAGTGCCATGGGTCAATTCTTAAATTTTACGGCATATCACACTCACCCTGAGGGGTTGTTAAAACACAGAGTACTGGGCCACACTCCTAGAGTTTCTGATTCACTAGGTCTGGGGTGGTGCCTGAGAATCTGCATTTCTAACAAGTTCCCAGGTGACGCTGATGCTACTGGTTCTGGCACTGTACCTAAGAACCACTACTCTAGGTTGATGGTGAGATGGGGCTGAAGGTGTGAAAGCACAGGAAAACCAGTCTACCCTTTGCCTTCCTTCTCTACAGGTCTCAAGGTCTGACCACTGAGGTTCCATCACTTCCTTTGTTGTCTTCTCACCACAATCTTAACAATGGCGGTGGCAACTTCTAACTCTAAAAAATTGTTTAAAAGGCTGCTGCTTTTGCAAAGTGTGCTGGGTTGGAGGTGGAGGAGGGGAATCACTTCTTAAACCTCTTGCCAACCCCCTACCCCCTCACCCTGCTTCCCTTGCAAGGCCCTGGCCCCCTGCTTCTGATAATGACTGATAAATGCTCAAGTTTCTAGTTTCTATTTGGCTGCTACACAGAGGCCTCCAACATAACCTGGAAGTACAGTTGAGTTCTTAAACTATGAAATCCACATTTAAAGGATCAAAACATAAACCACAAGGATGGCCTTTGCTACAGGCCTCTTCAGTAACTTCACCAAAGGATTAATGAGAGAGAAGCACCCAGATCAGGAGCCAGGGAAGCTTGGTCAGCCAGGGAAGTGAAAGGGGATTCCAGAGGCTAGCATTGGCAGTGACTTTCCTGGCTTGGCCTGGGAACAGGGACCATAAGTTAACTGACTTCTAACACTATGATCCTGTTGGCAAGCTCATTCCTGACGTAGAGAGAGAGGCATCAAATTATTTGGTCTGATTCCATGAGTTGTTGGATTTATCTAGTTTCAGTGGTTCTGATTCTCGGGCATCTCCATAGGTAGGTCTCTTTGTAAGGAAAGAATGCACTGGTTTCTCACACTCCGGTATTACGGTCCTTTAGAAAGTTATAGTTCTTATTGTAGTTAATCTGTTGGTATTCTGACTTTATACATTTTTCAAGAAGTTAGTGAATTTGAGCCTGCCCCTAAGAGATGGGTCTGTTCTCAATATGCTGATGAGTTCAGGTTCTGAAACTGCCAGGTTGAGTACCAGACCCTGGACTGGTAAATTCACCAAGGGAATGTCTTAGGAGACCGCTAGCCTTCCAGATTATTCCCTAGGACACATGGTCACAGAGCATGATGACAAGGAGCCACAACCCACCATAAAGGTTCAGAAGAGGGTTCTTGGAGATGATAACATCTGAGTTATATCTTAAAGACTGAGTAACAGTTTTTAGGTAAAGTGGGGTGGGCAGGGCATTCTCACCATGATCCAGGACACAGAAAAGAGAATTAGCATGGTGAGTTGTAGGAATTGAAGTGTAAGTTAGGGGGTGGCTGGAGAAATAGATAGGGGTCAATTCAAGGAGAACCTTGAGGCTCATGGGTAAGAGGAAGTCATTTGAGTTTTTTAAGAAAGAGAATGACAGAGCAAATTTGGATTTATCACTCTAGCTCTAGGTGGATTATGATTTTAAGCAGGACCTTGTCCAGAGGCAGTTAAGGGGTTATGGTCCAGAAGAAATATAGTTTGTTCTAAACTATTATAGTAGAGAAGAAACATTTAGGAAGCAAATGCCAGCAGGATTAATATTTGGACACACAATGTCAAAAGGAAGGATAAGGGAGACAGAGGAGTCTAAGAGGACCCCCAGATTCTAGTTTGGGTGTTGGACTGGATGCCAATGCCATGAACTCATACATGGAATACAGGGAGGAGTATCCCAGGGTTTATTTCATAGAACCCAGGGGGTGGGGGATTAAGTGGAGTGAAAATAATGAGATTAGCTTTGAAAATGTTAATTTTGAGGTATCTGTGGGATTTCCAAGTTGAGATGTATAGCATTCAGTTATATATAGTTTCTGGGCACTCAGAGGGGAAGTCAGTGCTAACCATAAAGATTTGTAAGTTACCCACATAGAGGTAGTAGTTAAAGTCTGAGACAGGTTGAGGCTGCCTGGGCAAGACAGGGAAGGACAATGATCTGAGCAAAAATCCCTGGGCAGCAACTTTTAGGGGGTGGGTGGAGGAAGAATTCTTGTAGAGGAACAAAAGTCCCGATACCAGAAAGGAGAAGCAGAGTGGAAGAATTTCAGGAGCCAAGAGAACAGTTCCAAGGAGGAGTGGTGGCAACTCCCAAGAGAGATCCAGGAAACAAGGACTTAAAAGTGTCCATTGGATTCTGTACAAAGGGAGCCTTCAGTAACCCTGGGAAAGGTGGTCCCAGAGGTGTGGCGGGAGGGAATGGGAGAGGAGGAGGTGAAAACAGTGAGTGTGGATCATTCTTTTGTAAGGCTTGCTGAGCTTCTCCATCCTGAGATACTGGTGTAGACCACATCATTTCGGTGGGCCCTCTTTTCTTTCTGCCTTCCTTCTTGCCTAGGAGCCAAACAATTGGGAACAAGAACGCTAAATTAGATAGGAAGAACCGCTGAGGGCAATACTGGTAGAGAATTCAGGGTGACCTCTTCCCCAACGTCACTCCACTTTCACTAGATGGCTCTAACCTTTTCTGTCTTTTGCTTCCCTCCACTGGTGGATGATGGATTGCAGTCTCTCACTCCAACAGAGACCCCTCTCATGGAGGAGCAACAAGCCAAGGGGCTCCGCAGGAATGATTCCAGCTCTCAGTGATGCAATCTGTCTGGGAACGAGAGGAAGACCATCTGTTGACCCTCAGAATCAACGTGCTTTCCTGAACCTCTTTCCCTGTAGTTAGTGCCCCTGCTCTGTTTTCTGCATACCTTGCCAAGCCCCCCAATTTCTAGGGTCTAGAAAGCCTCCACTTTATGGAGTATGAGATTCTCCATCATTCCCCTGGGGCCTAGGCTTGTTCCTGCTCAGCCCCCACTGGACAATGGCTTTCTGGAGGAGAGGCCGAGGATGGGACTTGGGACTTATCTAGAATACAGTCCTCTAAATTCAGGCTGAAGGGGGACCCCCAAGATGTCCTTCCTTCCCAGGTCAAACTTGAACTCAATTAAAATGGTGTGTATGACTCTTCTGAAGGAAGGCTGGTCTTTCACCTGGCATCCCCCTAGGCTCTTAAAAGCAGGGAAGAATGAAGAGGAAGTGGGCCCCTTCCCTTCATCACTGGTCACCGTTGAATCCTTCCCACCCTGCCCCAGGCCTCAGCTGGAATCCAAAGTCTTCCCCATTTACCACCAACACGGGGGGGGGGGGGGGGGGGGCGTCTACTTAGCTTGTGGCCTTGAGCAGATTCTAGAAGTTCTGTCCCAGCCTGAGGGGTGTGACCAGTCACCCAGGCTCTTTAAGTTTGTATATTAAAACTTTTTATATTAAAAAAAAATTGTTAGAAAAGAAGGCAAAAGAATAGGAGGTGGTAGAGGACACAAGATTCACTGATAGACTTTTGTTTTTAGTATGAAAGACATGAGCAAGCCCGAGAGCAAAGAGCCAATGGATGAAAGAGAGAAAAAGTTAATGATGGAAGCAGGTCCTGGAGGAGACAGGTTGAGAGATGCGAAGGGATCACCCACAGAGGGGCTGGCTCCAAACAGGAAGAGAGAGACTCATCCTTTGAGACCAGTGGATGCTGATGTCACATAGAATCAGATGGGACTAGCCACATAAGACATTCTTGGGGAAGATCATCTGAATTTTAAGTGGACCCCAAGTCATTTAACAAACCAGAGAATGCCTACTTGGTGAAAACCATTCACATATATCATTACATTAAATCCTCACAACAACCCTATGAGGTACATATTGTTCTGATTTTACTCTAGAGGAAAGAGCCTCAGAGAAGTTAAGCAACATGTCCTAGGTCACACAGTTTACAAGAAGCGGACCTGGGCTCTGAATCCAGGCCTGTTTAGCACATGTTCTTTGTATGACCTCACGTCACACCATGGTGCCTTAGAGCAAAGTGGAGGTGGTTGTGCCTGTCATAGAAAGCCCGTATGAGTGGTCTTAGGGGACAGTGAGTTTTTTAATCTCTGAAATTACCACAGAGGTGTTATCTAGGTATAGATCGTGTTCTGGATTCCAGATTTTCTAGTTTGTCTAGAAATCTGTCCAGCTGTAGCAAACAGCACAGGCCCACTTAGGGCCTCCAAGAGTCAGATGATAGCCTGGTTAGAATTTGAGCTAAAAATAAGCTAACTACCTCCTGATTTTGTGCCTTATATTCATTAAAGAGTGTCTTTTTGATAGTTGAAAGTGTGGCAAGGGATGGAGAAAATATTTTCAGTCCTGAAGATTCTTAACCAGTACCCATGACTAAGTACCATGAATTAAATGATCCTCTATCAAACTGGTAATAGTGGCTGCATCTGGCAGAAGGGACCTAGGGGATGTCCAGGGATATTGGCCTACGTACATATGTTATTGAGTCAAATGCACTTAAAATTGTATCTCTATATTACGGCAAAACTGAGTTATTACATGCGAAGTCCTCAGGTAACACTTCTGCCTGCAGTGGTTCTCCTCAAGTGCAGTTACTAGAAGAGTAGACAGACACCGCGGGGGGCTCCGTGCTGTACGACGCAAAGTGCGCGCAGTCTCTGGACCGGCATTCACAGATTCTCATGATCCGCTCTGCTGGAACCGCTCTCCCCCATCACGTCAGCAGTTCCCACGTGGAGCAGTGGGGAAAGATGGTGCAAGGAAGAAATCAAAGCTTCCTTCTGGAAACATGAGCGTTCTAGGAATTAACGCTGGAAGGAGGAGAGCAGGTTCCTGGGCTTACACGGTTGTTGTACGAGGCTCTCTCCTGAAGCTGGACTAGAGATCGAATGATTCAAGGGCTGATGATACAGGAATGCAGGGGTGGAGTGAAAAGAAAGAGTAAGGCTACTATGGGGGCAGGTTTTTAAGAAAGTGCCTGGAAATATTGGAAAAGGCTAAAAAGCTAGGTCGAGGCCAGTTTGTGGGAATTGGGACCCTCCCCAAATCTTGCGTTTTCCATGAAGCTCTCAGAACTGGCCAGAAGAAAGACTTTCCCTTTCCTTGGCTTTGATGAGTCTAGACTTGGAATTCTATTAGTCACCCTCCCCCGACCTCTAATTCATTCTAAAATATTGGGCACCTCCTATGTGCTAGGCTCTTCTCTAGGCTTTTGGAATACAGGCATGAATAAGAAGGACAAGAACGCTCCTTCTTACTTTCTGATGCAAGCAGTTAGAAAATAGAAAATGTCAGGTGTTCCAAAAAATGAAATCAAAATCAGAGTGATGAGCTGGAGAGAACTGGCAGGCTACTTTAAAATGGTCAGGAAAGGCCTCTCTGAGGAGGGGAAGTTGAAGCTAAAACAGATTGAGAAGAAGGAAGCGGCACTTGAAGATCTGTGGGATGAGCATTCTAAGGCAGAGTGAAGAGCAAATGCAAGCTCTTCCCAAACTGAGAAACAGACGGAAGGACAATGTGGTTGGAGTGAAGTAAGCGCAGGGGAGAGGTATAGGAGGAGAGGTCAGAGAGAGGGGTTCTGGCTGGGGTGAGGAGTCTGGATTTCATCGTAAGGGCAATAGAGAACCGTTGAAGGTTCTAGGCAGAGGACAGACATGATCCTATTTGTGCGTCAAAAGCTCTCTTTGCTTATGATGTGGAGAAGAGATTGTATAGGGCAGAGAACGAAATCAGAGGAATCAGGAGGTTACTGCAGTATAATTCAGGGAATGGGTTTCCTCCAGGGCGGAGGTAGAGATGGAGGAGGAGTGGAGTGATGGTGAGATTCCGGATATGTTTTGGAGACAGAGTCAATACAGCCTGCCGATAAATTAGGTGCAGAAGGTAAAGGAGGAAGGAATCAGGGATCATTTTGAGGTCTGCAACTGGGCAACTATGAACTTTTCCTTATTTTCTATTGCTGTTATCTACCTTAAGAAGACTTAAATTTTTTAAATTATAAAAGCAATGTATATTCGTGTAGAACATCTAGAGCATACAAAAAGTAAAATTAAGAAATATAAAATATTCACAAGCCCATAATTCACAGATAATTACTATTAATCTTGGTTCATTTACTTCTAAACTTTTCTCCTCTTTGTTAAGGAAAACATTTTCCTATGTAATAAAATAATATGTATTAATTGGGAAAAATACAGAAAAAAATAAACATAGAAATTAAAATCACCCAAGGGGCTAGCCGCGTGGCTGAGTGGTTAAGTTTGTGCGCTCCGCTGCCGATGGCCCAGTGTTTCATTGGTTCGAATCCTGGGCGCAGACATGGCACTGCTCATCAAACCATGCTGAGGCGGCATCCCACATGCCACAACTAGAAGGACCCACAACGAAGAATATACAACTATATACTGGGGGGCTTTGGGGAGAAAAAGGAAAAAAATAAAATCTTAAAAAAAAAAGAAATAAAAATCACCCAAATATAACCAGAATTAATATTTTTGTGAATGATATATACATATATATTCAACTTATTTTGAACATTCTTAATATATGGCTTTGTATTCTGCTTTTTTAATTTGACATGAACTTTATCTCATTATCATTAAAATTATTTAAAAAATTTTTTTGGTTTGTAGGCACTTATTCTTGATCTACATGAAACTGTCACATCAGCCACATCTTGCCAAAGGTCCCCAGGTTGCTAGATTTTAGGATCTTTGCCTTCACATTAACTTTCTCCGCGCCATCCCCCCCACCCCCATCTTTACTTAGGAATAGCTGACTTGGAATCTTACACTTACCCAGATGCCTAATCCTGACGCAGGGTCTTCTCAATGGCTCACCTCAATCCCCTCATGCCATCACCTTACCATTACCACCAATTAATCCACTCACCCCCACCAAGAGGCAGGGCAAGCCCTGCAGAGCCCTCAGCGGTGGCCACCCTGGCACATCTTTTACAATGCGAAAGGAAAACGTACCTGAATGAGCTTCAGGTGAATCACTGCATGAGCCCCTCAAGTGGAACTTATTTTCCAGGAATGCATTTTACCTGGCTAGTTTTGAGGCACATGACCTCCCAACACTTGAGGAATCATCTGCTAATGGCACAGTCAGAGTCATGCCCATTCACCATGTAAAGCCACTTGGATTGCTCTGACCACGTGGCCGCAGGCCCACTCTAAAGAGGAATGTGAGTGTTTTCTCCCTGGTCTGGACCCTGGTTCTGAACTGCTTTCACATCTACTCTGCTTCTGACTCCACCATCCTCCCATTCATCTCTCCACCTTCAAACAGGCGGTAGATGATAAGGCTGATATCACTTGCTCACTTGGAGGAGGTAGAAAGAAAGCCCAGTGCCACCTGGAAAGAGGTCCTCCGTGCCTGCTTCATGATTGATTGATTGAAAGATACACCCTTGTCATTTACATTATAATTACTTTCTTACCATAGGCGAAGAGGGCCTCAGTTGTTATCCCAAAGAGAATTTGGTTTATTTTTAAACTATAGATGAATCTGAGTTTTTATAATCATCAGAGTCTGAGCAACTGCCACAAGTAAACAGGCTTCAGCTGCATAAATCTGAACGGCTGCAGGGTGGAAAGTCGGTGGCTGATCATTTTATGTTTGTACCACGGAATACACGTTTCCACGCTCTCTCTCCCAAATTATCACATTTGCCCATTACAACAACTTGTGGAGAGCGGCAGAGTTGATATTTTTATTTCTATTTAATAGGCTTAGTTCATCAAACATTTATTGATCCCTTTTTATATACCTGGCCCTATGCTGAGCACTGGTGATATTGAGAGGAAGACAATACAGTTTCTATCCTCAAATTGCTTGCAGTCTAGTGGGAGACACAGACATAGCAACTAACTAAAGTATGATGTGATGAGCATTATGCAAGTGCTATGAGCAAAATGTTATGAGCATCAACAGGAAGGATAGAGAAGGGGGTGGGAAGTAAACCTCATTGAATACCTACTAAGTACAGGTACTGGGCTAGGGCCTTGCTAAGCATCTCTATCATCTGGGTGCTTCTTAGAAATGCAGAATCTCGGGCTCCCCAGACCTGCTGATTCAGAATCTGCATTTTGTCAAGATGTTCATAACATCTCTATGCCCATTAAACGTTGAGGAGCAGTGGGCTAGGTGATTAACAGATTTTAATTCACAACCCAGGTAGCTATTATTAGCCCCATAATATAGATAGGAGATGGAGTTATATAATTCTCTCCATGTCACACAGCTATGTCACAGAGCTGGCATTTGACCTC